TATCTGCTATCAATAATCTGGATGCACATGAAACTTAATGTCAACTTTTAAACCTACAGCTGAGAATTTCTATTCTCTATCTTTTACTGCTTCTTGTCCAGAGAAAAGGGCACAAGCGTTGCAGCAAATAAATCGTTGGAGCCTCTGAAAAAAGGGTAACGAACTTGTACTTAGACTTCTAGATGAATGGTACTCGAATGCAACTTTAAACACGGTTTTGCAAAATTAGAAATCATGTATGAATCATTTCTTTTCTTTCAAAAGGTACCTCTGAACATTCTATCCTATAATGTCGAAGATTGTCAAACTCACCATTTGGAAATAGTGGATCTAGTTCATAAAATAGATGCGTCAATGAGTATTTTTACAGAAAGTGGAACATTATGCAATACCTTTTCTCTGTCAAATTTCAATATTTTTTACCAGCAAGGTGAAAATTGTTCTGTCAACGTTGTCGATCTTTCTGGCTCTCTTCTTGTCATTGGAATATATTGATCTCAGTACCAGAAACGACACCTCGATGTCTTACTTCTCTTCGTTCAACAAGGAACAATCATCTCTGGAGATGTTAATACGTCATTAAAAGAGTGGAATAGTCCATCTTCAGATAAATGTGAGAAACCTTTGAAAGAATGCATAGAGTAGAATAATCTCATCTATGTTTTCTCCTCCTCATACTCTTCTGAAACCTCTTTTCACAAAATCGATCTTACTTTTTCGAATATGAATGGAATAAGTGCAGAAACTTGTTTTTTGTATAAGTGATCACTGACCTATCGTGCTTATATGTGAAAATGTAGACTTTGATACGAATATATTTTTTTCCTCATGTTCGTTGAGAAGTATTTGAAGTTATGCTTGTTCTTCTTCAGAATTTCTAGATAAGGGAACAGAATGTCATGTCGGCATATACATCGTACCGGCAGTGACCTCGATTTCTTGCAGCACTAACAGATAAAGTAATCATTTGGAAGAGAAAAGAAAAATACTAACCATCACTACTTGAATGAAGAGACTCGTGTTCTATTACGAATAATGACACGCGAAGCGAAAACCGAAATTGGTAAATAAAAATCAAATAGATGGTACTCTTTTTCATCAACATTTCAGGAAAAATATGATAGCCTTGCCTCTATAAATTCAAGAGTCTAACATTTTTAAAACTTTTCAGTTACAAAGAAATTATATCGGGAAAAATGAGAGGATGCAAGAGCTCTATTACTACTATGAAGAGCAACTCAAAGCACCAGAAACAAACCAAGCGGATCCCAATGATGTAGAAATCGAAAAAGAATAAAACACACTTTTAAATGAATTAGAGATCTCTGATGATCATATGGAGAGAACAAGCACCTTTGAAATCACAAAATAAATGATAAAACTCCAGTCGAAAAAATCTTCAGACTTTGATTTCATCTGGGGCTCAACGAGTATCAATATCCACATGAATGGAAATTAGCAAAAATAGTTACCTCAAATAAATTGTATGCAGACATCCTACGATGAGAACAAACAAGGCCAATAGCTCTTCTTACAACATATTCAAAACTTTTCGGCAAAATAATACTTGAAAGAATAAAACATTGAGCAGAAAATAACCAACTCGTTCCAGCTGAGTAGTCCATATTGTCTGCTTCCTACTCGAATTCTCTCTACCTATAAGGAAGTGAACAACAATATAGCAGTAAACGTACCAAAAATTGTTCTATGTGTGGATTATCAGAAAGCATATGATAAAGTGTGACAAGCAGTACTCTTAGTTAAGTTGTATCGATTTGGTATACTTCTTGGTTTGCTTAAAACTATTGCCTCATGGTTAAAGAACAGACGAGCGTATGTACTTTTTGGAGACAATAGCTCATATGTATTCTATATTTTTACTGGTCTCCCGCAAGATAATAGTTTCAACCCCGATCTATTTATCGGTGTTCATTATGATCTAGTATCTTGCCTTGATACATATTCTGCCCTTTTTTTCGCGGACGATCTGAACCTTCTTATTCGACCTCCACTATCGTCAAAGTTCCCATCTATGATAAAGTATTTAGAAAACAAAGATACCTATATATGTAATCAATTTTCAGTCTATTCTAAAAGATGGAAGCAACCAATAAATATCTTTATGGATGGGGAAACTTTAGAAATTGACAAGCCTTTTAAATATCTCGGTTTTATTTGAACTAGTAAGCTATCTTTAAAACCAATCATTAACAAATATGTAGAGAACGTTCAGAGGCCCCTTGGAAAATTGATATCATTAACAGAAGAGAAAATCATTATCGACAACAGTGTTGCGAGCATCTGTTTTTGCTTATGCTTTTCTACATCTTGCTTGACTTTTTTCACTTGTAGCAAAACCTCATCAATAAAGACTGAGGCGCAAGTTTCGAACTGGGATGAGGCTGAGACATCGGTGTCATTTTGTATTGAAACATAATTTATTCGCTCCAATAAACGAAGATCCTCTATATAATGATATATTCTATTGGGGTGATTGCCACAATAATAAAGGTGATAACCCTGATCATTTCCTTCGGATGAGCAGAGTTAAAAATTTGAAGGATAAATATGAGATTCTTTTGCCAAAATGGATCGTTTTCGCGAACTGGATCCCCACGTGTGTATTGATATGCCTTCCTTTCTTTTTCTTCTTTCTCTTTATCTAACACATCTCTTTTCTTCTCGTGTTTTTTTTTTCTTACTTCATCTTTCGTTCTGCTTTATTATTTCAGTTCTTTTCCGTGTTTCTTTCATTATTTACTTTCCACATTATGAAATGTCTTTTATGGTAGCCTATCTTCAATTAGCTGAAAAGTAACAATAAACAGCAATATCCAAAAAGAAATCTCATTTTCTCTTTTGAATTATTGTGCTACCGATTCGTTTTTCAAATTATTCTCGATTCATTCATTTATTCATATTGAAATACCTATTCTTGATAGTATAGCATCGAATAATCTTCTTACTCAACTTTTCGATTCTCTTTTTATTACTTTACAATTTGATTATCAAAATGAAAATAAACTAATTTGTGATTATAGTATTAGAGATTGTAACACTGGACTATACCTGTGGTGGTACATTTTCTTTTACTTTATATTGATATTTCCATCCATAAACTAGTAAAGATGATGTCATTTTCAAATAAATTAAATATATATGAAATAATTTGATCCTTCCAAAAATATAGAATGGTGTATCTGTTGAGAAAAAGTTAAGTTACATTCACACTTACATCTTATATCTAATTTTTATTGGTTTAATAATCAAGCCATCTAATCTATTTCTTAGGAAGTAAATTTTATAATGAATATAATAACTACACTACTCCGTTTATGTTTCATTCATTTATTTTTTGCTTATTCAATTAATGATCGAAGATTTTCAATTAGTTAAAGAAAAAAAAACGAAATTTCTATAGTCTTAAAGAAAAAGTCAGAATAGCTAAATACGCTGAAAATTTGTTGTTCAACCATGATAAATGTTGAAAAACAAAAATTACAAAGAATTTCTTTTGTTTTCTCTTTCAAGTTTTGTGCAGACATTCTAATATAGTTAAATATCGTTATAGTTCTCCTTCTTTTTCATATCGTTCAAGAGAAACTGTGATCTTCTCTTCATAAATATGTGAGTGAATTGCAAAATTATTGTACCGTTTCGAAAAGAAAAGTTGGGCAACAAAAAGTTTTGATTTTAAAGTTTACAGTTAGTGAATTTTAATGTACTATATGACAAGATAATATGAATAAATTATCTCGACTAACATGATTGAATTTCAAGTATAAGTGTTATATGTCATTTGATAGAGCTCGCTCACGCTCTTAGAATGATCTGAAAAGCATTTCTAGATCTGCTTAGAACACTACTGTAAGACGAACACATACAAGAGAAAAAATTTTGAAGATTTACAGAAAGCTTTACAAAATTTGGCTTATAGGAAGTGACTGATTTGCAACGCGTTGCATTCATCTTTAGCTTCTAGTGTTTTTCTTCGTCAAGTAATCTTACTCGACAAATTGTCATTGACATTACTCTTTTACATGTACCGAAGAGTTTCAATCCTTGATATTTTCATTGATACTTAACCACAGCAATAAGATAAAATGATCAAAATTTTATTTCAATTTATTACTTCTAAGGAGAGTTATGTGCCAAACAAGGTAAAAAATCTGGCGTGACATTTAGTATGGCAACTGAATTTTCAAGTTTTATAATATGGGTTTTCTTGACAACAAGCAATATAATTTACTCAGTTTTTTTTGTAATAGTTTTATCTCCGATTCATTGACTTTCGTTCAACACTATCCCGCTTATTTTTGGATTCGTCATTTAATGTTAAAGTCATTTTTACGCTTGCATGGCAGAAAATCGAGGAATGAGTGTACATTTGATATTCAAAAAAAAACAGACGACTTACGAAAAATTCGTCGACTTCTGAAATTCAAAGAACAAGAGAACAAATAAATTATAGGTCAATCTTAATCAATACATGAAAGTAAAAATCGATCTTTTTAAACCTTGAACATCTAATATCTTGAGACTGGTTTGAAATAAATTACAGGCTTTTTGTATCATAGTAGGAACTTCTTAGAGAAGCGTAATCTAAAAAAGCCATCAGGATTTGTTCAGAGCAATTAGAATTTTTGAACTTTTCTATCTTAGAATATAAATAGTACAATAATTTTGGAATTTACTTACATATAACTTGAAGACATCGAAATCGGGGTATAAAATAGATCAAACAAATATATTTGGATATACAACTATGACCCATATCGCAAAAGAATTTTTCGTTACATTTTGTTGTAAGATTTTTCAAACCTTCAGGGAACTTCTCTTTTATATAGTTTGATACTGAACATTTCACTGTTTAACTAAAAAATACGCCTAGTTTTTACAAGAATAGGTTTAATAATTGTTTTCTAAGGACAATAAGAAAATTTTATGACAAAATCAACGGTCTCTACGGTTTAGAATATAAAGTTATTTCTATTCGATTCATGGCGTATAGACAAGATGACATGGTGATCCAGAATTTAAATAATAATAAAAAACGAAAATTACAAAATGAGAGTAATATCTTTTATGTTTATATTTAATAAATCTAATGTTTTTTCTCTTTTGTTTTAGTACCAATAAACAAGTTAGATATTTCGTATGTACTTAATAATGTTATTATTTAATTTATTTAGATTTCGTGTTGAAGATTTAGCAAATGAAATTCTTTATGAAATATTTGATTATCTTGATATGTATTATCTGAAATATTTTATAATCAATTGTTATTTTCCATCTAATTTATTGAATAATTTATTAAGTTGTCTTCCTCAACTTTCCCATTTATCAATTAATTCACTTGTTAAATCTTATTGTTCAGCTATGTTGATAAAGGTAAAAAAAATGATAAAAGAATTTTTTTATTATCTTCAAAATTTACGTCTTACAACGTTGTATGATGAAGCATATTTAAAATGATACTAAATATCGCGAAGAATTAATATTATATTATATGCCATATTTACAAGTTTTTGATATTAATCACGAAGGTTCTATACAAGATAATGATTTAACTTATCATGATGTAATTAATCAATTTAATTCTTTATTTTGGATTGAAAAAAATATTTTTTTTCTCCATCAATATTATTAGTAAGAAAGACTAGATACTAGAATTTTTTTATTTAACAAACTCATATTAAAAGAAAAAAGAAATTCAGTTTTACTCTTCTTTATATTTTGCTCTCTTTTAGAAGAAAAGATTATAGATTTTATTGTAAATTGGATAATGAAGTTTGATCTCAAAGCCAAAAAAGTAAACTTAAATTCAGTTAAACATATTTATATTTGTAGTAAAAACGCAACAATTAATTGTATAAATCATTTTTTAAATATTACACAATCGACTATTATACATTATTTTAAAACACGAAAGGATTCGATTACAATAGATCTTAATCTTATGATTCCTTTAACACAACTTACAAAATTAGTTATTGAAACACATGATTTTGTACAGATAATTAGCTTTTTATTATCCAAAACTAATAAAAAGATAGAACATTTATTCATTTTTGTATATTTCGGGAATATCGAAAATATGTTTAAAAGAATTAAAACTTTTAATTAAATGAGAAAATTTACTTGATGATTATTTTATTAAATTTACTAATCATGATTTATATGTATGGTGGTAGAAATTCCGTTATTTAGGACATGTTTTATTATTGGATATAATTTGTAAATACTTTGAAATAAACAAGAGATTTAACTTTCAATATTTTTTATTATTTAGAAAATGAGAGTATAAAATCTAACGTAATCATATATAAATAAATGATTAATAGGAGATTTCAACATTGAGTAAAATATACATGAAATATTTTCATACTATAAACTTTTATCGAACCGAATTTGAACGAGGAGGTTGTTCACTGGTTATGTCATCATTATCACTAGATTATTTCTGTACAAGTTGATGAGTGAGAGCATGAGGAAGTCATCAGTCAACTGCTCTCACTTCTCTTCCTATCATTACTTGTCTTATTTTGGTCTTACCTCTCCTAATGATGGCATAGCATGCGAACGAGGGTTGATGTGGTTTTCATTACTGAATTAGCCCACATCACACATGTACATTGGTTATTTAGTAATGAAGACAAAAATGAATGGAGGACGAATAAAAATTTTCATTGAAGAATAAAATACAATTAGATGAACAGCAAGATTGATGTATGACTATGAACGTGAAAAAGTGTTACAGTTTCTAGAAATAACTTTCAATTAAAATGAAATTGATATAGAAGTATTGAAACCAAAAATGAGAAAAACTAAAGATCAATCTATATTTCATCTACTTAAATAAAATTGATACATCATTAAGTTTTAATATCAGAATAAAATCCAAAATCGTGATATACCAAATTGAATATCATTTTAATCCCATTTATAAAGATTCAATCGTATTGAAATATTGATTATATATAATAAAATAGATTTACAAAAAAAAAGAAGAGTCAAAAAATCGATGTATTCGATCACTAATTATTCAGTTCAACACTTGTATCCTATAGTTGAGTATGAGACAAACAAAATCATAAGAAAAAAATGAAATTCAACTACTAACAAAGTCTAGCACAAACATGAGACATAGCAAGGACTAGGAGAAGACGGTGGTAGTGATACAAATAAGTGAAAAAAAATCAATTCAATAACAAAACATCAACAAAGAATCTATTTTTTTTTAGGATTAAGTTTTAATCGATTAATTTAATTTACTTATTTTAACATTCTTACACATATCAATTTTAGCTTAAGTTAATTTTTATTTTATTTGTATCTTACTAATTTAAGTTGAGTTGTTTCTTTATATTGGTTTATTCTCCATCGTAAAATATTGTCTATCAAATTAGTTAAATTATTGATTTCATTCGATTATTTTCATAGCCCTTTTTTTTTTAACAAATACATTAATAAATATAAGAAAACAATCTTCTAACTTCTTTTTGAAAATGATCTAAAAATTCTGTGTTGCAAAATGATTTCAATATAGGCGAGTCTCTCTAGTGTTAAAGAAGACTAAGCATGAGAATGTTAATCAACACTTAAATTTGTCATCACAACTTTACATCGACAAGATTTTTGATAGTAACGATCACTTGCCTGTTTAGAGTCATTTTTTTCAACTCGATTGCATATATATATACTCTAGTACAAGACAAAAAAGAGACATAAATATGATTTATTTGATCATTTATTAATTAATGTTTACATGTTTTCTTAAATGAAAATGAAGTAGCGTTACTCTTTTTTCAGTTTCAACTTAACACGTAGAATGTTTTGTTCAACATTAGCCAGTTTGTCCTTGGAAGATTCATCCTTAATATTGTAACATTCAGCGGCTTTTTCGTAATATCTGAGGGCTTTCCATAAGTCAGAGTTCTGTTGGTAAACGTCAGCCATGTTCTCCCATGTTAAGGCAATCAATGGATGTCTGAATGAAAGAGACTTTTCTTTAATTAGAACCGACTGTTCGAAATATTGTAACGCTTTTTTGAAGTCGCCGGTACTTTTGTAGACATGACCTAAGTTATGTAACGACTTAGCCACATCTGGATGATCAGAAGGAAGAAGTTTTCTACGAATCATCAAGGCCTGGCTATGATACTGATGTGCTTTGAAATATTGTTTCTGACAGTCGTAAATCGTACCTATATTACTGAGGCATGTGACAATGGCTAAGTGTTGTTCACCAAAATTTCGCTTCCAAATCTCCATAGCTTTGTTATAATATTTAAGTGCTTCTTCATTATCTTTTTGCTTTGCATAGACATTGCCAATACTGTTGTAACTATCGGCAAGATTAGGATCGTTTTCTTTGAGAGTTTTTTGTTTTCGGTCTAATGTTAATTGATACCAATAGAGACTTTTTGGTAAGTCTTCTTTTTCGAATGCAAGATCTCCGAGTTTAGAATACAAAGAAGTGATATCTTTATGATTATCAAGCATTGTGTCCTGCAGATGACGAAGATGTTTTTCGGCTTCGTCAAGTTTATTCATTTTCATTAATTGTGTGACGAACGCAAGACGTTTTTGTTCATGACCTACGACAAGATTTTCCAATTTCATATGTTCGATAGTGAATCTCAGACTGTTTTCATTTTCGCTGCATAATTGCATTCGAATGATCCAAAATTGATCGTCGTGATGTTTCACGTCAAGAATTCGATAGATAGATCCGACTGTCATGAGCACTTCTTTTTCTTTAGGATGCGCACTAAGTTGGCTGAGCTCAGCAAACGGTTTGACTCCTTGAAGTTGAGGATCAGCATCAATTTCGAAGAAAACTTGTCGAAAGTCATCCGAAGACTCGAGAAAGTTGCGAGCTTCCGTTGCATCAAGACTTGTCGAAACAAATGAAGTCATTGAAATCAATTTTCCTGTTGCATTTACCAATCCATTGAATTCTTCTTGTGATATCGATTGACATCGGTAAGTTCGAATCGCTTTTTTACATCGATGCTTTTCGATTGCTTTCCAAAGATCGGCGATGAAGAATCGCATAAGATAAAGCAAAGAAGTATCTTGTCTACGAAATGCTTTGTTCAACATTCGATAGAGAAACGATTCTTTCGTATACCACCATAATGCTTGATCAGATTTATAATTGTGTTTGAATTCACGAACATTCTTCATTTCTTCTTTATTGTCTTTGTATTTTTTTTCACAAATCGAGATTAATTCTTCTTTATCCTTTTCAGTACCTTCTATGCGGACAAGGGAATCCAATAATAATTCAAACTGAACATATTGTCCGTTGAGACCGAATGATGTTCGATCTGTTACCGAGTTGTCTTGTAAGAAGGTTATCGAAAATTGTTCTTCGATTTTCTTAGTCTTCTCATGATCTGTTCTAATTCGATGAATGAGTTGTTCGAGATCTGTACTTATTAATTTGATCTAAATAGAAAATTATTAGAGAATTATACAAAATCAATATTTCTCCAAACTTTTGAATATTGCTTGGCCCATTCCTTATTCTTCTTCTTGTCCATACAGTAGACATAGATGACAGAAACTTGTCGAAGTTTATAAATTCGGGGCACTATTTCTCGTCCCAAACCACCACTGACGATGAGCACAATTCGATCTGATTCGTCACATTTTCGAATGTATTTTTCGCACTTTGAAACATTGTCGAATGTTTTCAGATAATTAATGATTGTACGAAGATCTGCTTGAGCTTCGATGTTTTCTTTTGATGTATTTACCGATGCATCAAGCCAAATAAGACTGAATGTTTCGAGATTATCAGACATTGTTGCCATGTATGAGCTATTTCAAAATAATGAATATAGATATTTTCTCAATGCTTGGATAGCAGCTACACATTTTATCGTATCATTCGTTTTCTATTGAATTCATATGAGCTGACAAAAATAAACTTGGATCTTCTCGAAATTTAAACATGTTTGATTCTTGAAATAAAGTCAAATGCTCACATTTCTTGTATTATCTTAGACATAGTTGTTGTCAAATATTTTTTGAGAGTAATCTCTTTTACACCCCGTTGCATCAGTATACCCTTACATAATGAAGATCGATAGAAATATTTTGGGCTCTACCTAACTAGCTAGAATTTATTAATTTAGCAATAATATTTCAATTCTTGGCAAATCAGTTTATAAAGAATATATTCTACTTTGATGATAGAAAATGAATTTTTGAGACTATAGCTCAAATAGAAATATTCATAAGTAAGAGATAATGAAAAAGAAACCAGTGTTTTCCTCAGTGGCTTTGTTTGATCATAATATCGATAGAAATCAACAGTAGTACCATCTACTTTAAATAGCCGATAGAAAAAATCTTTATCACGCATAAAAGTATAAAAGTCTATATCTGTTCTGATGAAAGCAATAAGCATGCAGGCCTGTGCATGATGTTAACAGAAATAGTTTCTTACTTCCAATGCTTTTATGGTATTTGGCAGTAAAATAAACAACAAGAACCAGTGTATCAATGGAAACAATAATACTGATAAATCTTAAATGAATAGACCATTGAAAGTAAAAGTTGATCACATAAAAATAAGATTATTTTAAAAAAGTGAAGATAGTACAAAGATTGACAAAATTTAAAAAAACTAGATCTTGAAGAATAAGCCAATAGTCGATGGAAAGGATTAAGCAGTAGCTTGTGTGGTTGTCCAAGTTAATTTAGTTCACATGAAATACTATCAGCTATATCATTAGAAAAGTTTTGCATAGAGTTTACTAGAAAAAAAGCATCGTGTCCGATGTGACAAACACAGACGAGTAGTTTATTTTATGCACTCATGTAAATAATCATCTTAAATTCCACTTACAGCAGGTGACTCGCTTGAAATTACCTCATGATAGGTTGTATTCACTTTGATGAAAAGTCAATAATATCTAACAAAAGTTGTTTTTTAAGTACTCGTAAAAAGATAAAATGTCACTTTCTTATGTGTGTCTGTCTATTACATAATCAATCGTTAATGAATATATGAAAAGAAATAAGCAGTAAAAAAAAAACAATTTTTTTTTACCGTGACTTTTTGTAATTAATAAAAGGTGACAAAACATACGAAGAAAGACTGGACGAGTATCTACTCTTACAATATACACAGACAGTCACAGAAAAAAAAGTTTGCGACGTTAAAAATGAAGAGTCTGTCTCTCTATTTGAGTATGTAAAGGAAAACATTGAATATTTTCTTTCCTACACTAGCACAGACGAAAATGATGATGATGTTATCATATTTGCTTCTTGATGACTATTGCAAAAATGAATCATTATTCATGTGAAAATTATTTGAGTTGTCACACTTCTTGATGTGTTCAAAATTTCAAACTGCATCTTCAGTGTACGATTTTATGAAAGTTCGATAAAACTTTATAATCAAAATTAATTTATTTCAAATTAGAACTATATCATCACCGATATGAGGCTAAGATGTTCACAGTTGTTTACAATGAATCTATCTATGAATTAACATAGGTGAACCAAGCTAGATTTGAAAAAGTACACTAGTAATAGAATCTGCACCTATACGCTCGTGATATGTAGAAGGTCTCAAGGACTTCTTCAGTGCAACAGCACGCATTTGTCTCTACGTAAAATGTTCAGCGCTTTGCACAATTATTTTATAGTTTCTTCTCATGGATTTTAGAGGATTTGAATGAAATATTCTCAATACTAGAATTCGATTAATACTATCAACAGTCTTATTGCATGCCTTTAATAAGACAAAACAAATTTGTGCGCATAATTTCATTTATCTTCCTCATTTAAACGTTACACAAGTCTATTATGTCAGTTTTCTCTATCTTACGTAATAAGTTTTCCACTAGCTATAGCAGTTTTATAAAGTATTAGCCGACGCAAAAAAACTTTTTAATGTATTTTTAATCGATAAAATACATCTATTCTAATGGTGTTCATCGAACAAGTATGCATGTTAAAAATACGTCTTTATTCCAAAAGTGTTGCGCTAAACAAGTATTTTAAAACAGAATTGTATTTGGATGAATTTAAAATCGGTAACACGTTCGAGAGACTTTGTAACTCTAGAAATATTTACATGAGTTAAGATTCATCATTACACTAGTCATCAAGAAGTAAATATGATAACATCATCGTCATTTTCGTCTGTGCTAGTGTATGAAAGAAAATGTTCAATGTTTTCCTTTACATACTCAAATAGAGATACAGACCTTTCATTTTTGACATTGCAAAATTTGCTTTTCTGTGCCTGTCTGTGCGTATTGTAAGAGTAGATATTCGTCCAATCTTTCTTCATATATTTTGTCACCCTTCATTAATCATAAAAAGTCACGGTAAAAAAAACAATTTTTTTTTACTGTGTATTTCGTTTCATATATTCATTAACTATTGATTATATAATGGATAGACACACATAACAAAGTGACATAGTGTTTTTTTTGAGAGTAATTAAAAACAATTGTTGTTAGATATGATTGACTTTTGATCAAAGTAAATACTATCTATTATGTAAAAAAAACATCAAAGTCAATCTGAAGTCTAAAGGACCAGTGGCGTTAAGGCCACTTTTCGGCCCAAAATATTTTCAAGAAATAACTATATGAGTGTTATAAGATTGATATGGGCTACAAATCTAGCACAATCATTTCCCTTGAAATGACTTCCAGATTTTTGACCCCCGTACCCCCCTAGGGGGATGCGACAAAGATTTTTTTCGAAATTTTTTTCTTAAAAGTGACTAGAACTAACAAGTCAACGACACTCATCACGAATATCGCTATCTCAAGGTTCAAAAATGTAGTGCTGAAAAATTAGACCCTTTTTCCTATATTGGGATTTTGAGGTTCAGGCCGAATTTTTGACCCTCCTTTAGCACGTAATAGTCACTAAGAGGTCTAGAAAAGCATTTTTAGATGCAAAATCTCAAGCTCTGTCCGAATCTGGATGATTAAAGACCGTCCGAAATGCTTAGCTGCTTATAACGGCGAAATACGATCAAAATCTCGATAGGATAAACATGGGTATCCCCCTTTCTAGAGTTTCCAGTACACTGAACGCTTTTTAACCTAAGTGAGATTGTAATGATTCGATGCGATTTTTCATGCTCTATCCAAATATGAACTCGAAAAGATTCAAAAAGGCCGGCATCAGGTCAAAAAACGTAATATACGGGCAGAATTTCAGTATACTAAGCGTACAGGCTCTTTTCAGGTATTTATAGTGCACTGAACGCTTTTGAACTTAAATGAGACTATGTCAATTCGATGCAGTTTTTCATGCTCTATCCAAATATGAGCTCGAAAAGATTAAAAAAGGCCGGCATCATGTCGAAAATCTATACTAGCAAAATTCCTTATTTTCTCTCTTATATCGAGATTTCCACCACTAAAACTTAGGTTTCATGCAAAATAAACATGATATTCGGAATCAGCATCACAATCTGCATCGGGCAACATATATTTTGTCAAAAAACATTTTTCGTCAAAAATTCGACCTGTAGGGGACCTCAGCTCTGTATACTCAATTTTGCCCTGAGGTCCCCCACAGGTCGAATTTTCCATGAAAAATATTTTTTGACAAAATACATGTTACCTGATGCAGATTTTGATGCTGATTCCGAATATCGTATTTATTTTGTATGAAACTTAAGTTTTAGTGGTCGAAATCTCGATATACGAGGGAAAATAAGGAATTTTACTGGTATATCATGATTTTCGACCTGATGCCGGCCTTTTTAAATCTTTTCGAGTTCATATTTGGATAGAGCATGAAAAACTGCATCGAATTGACATAGTCTCACTGAAGTTCAAAAGCGTTCAGTGCACTGGAAACTCTAGAAAGAGGGATGCCCATGCTCATCCTATCGAGATTTTGGTCGTATTTCGCCGTTATAAGCAGCTAAGCATTTCGGATGGCCTTCATTCATCCAGATGCCGATAGAGCTTGGAATTTTGCACCTAAAAATGCTTTTCTAGACCTCCTAGAGACTATTACATGCGAAAGGAGGTTCAAAAATCCGGTTTGGACCTGAAAATACGCATATACGAAAAAATGGTCTAATTTTTCAGCACTACATTTTTGAACTTTCAGACAGCGATATTCGTGATCAGCGTCGTCGACTTGTTAGTTCTAGTCACTTTTAAGAAAAAAATTTCGAAAAAAATCTTTGTCGCATCCCCCTAGGGGGGTACGGGGGTCAAAAATCCGGAAGTCATTTCAAGGGAAATGATTGTGCTAGATTTGTAGCCCATATCAATCTTATAACACTCATATAGTTATTTCTTGAAAATATTTTGGGCCGAAAAGTGACCTTAACGCCACTGGTCCTTTATATAAAGAAAGTTCTCAGACATGTACTTATGATATAAAAGTTTCGTGAGATTACAAAAAGAAAATGAATCAATATTAGAACGTTTCATATTCTAGCTGTTGAGTGGAAGTTTTTTTTTTACTGTTAATTAAATGTTTTCAACATATGAGAATTGAACAAAAGCTTGAATGATGCAATCAAAAGACTTTCTATATGTACTGTTTTGTATTTAGATGAGCAATAACAAGACGATGAAAATTTCTTTGAGTTTTATTTCTCTTAAATTTGACAAGATAATTTAATTCGAGAAGATACTCGTACTTTTTTCCTCAAGTGTTTCTATGGTATACAGGATACACTAAATGGACACGAGAAAAACATGTGAATAATATTAATCACTTTTTATTTTCTTTCGGTTAATGGCGATGTATTAATTTGTTTGATATATACTTCAACTTGTCGTTCGACATTGTTATAATTTTCTTGTCCAGATAAAGAACTCGACAGATGGTTTTATTTGTAAGGAATCGATAGAATCTACAGTTCCCTGAGATCCTTCGTATGATACAATTTTTATTATAAAACTTTTTCTTAACTAATATAAAAGATTGCTATTCAGAACACAATCACAGATGTGGTATTCACGAAAAGTTCCAGGCTACAGAGAAAAACAATGATCCTTGATACATCTACAACACAACGTTGATTTCATGCACTAGTTCAGCCTAGATTAATTGAGATGAAACAAAATCAAGACTCTGATACAACCTTTCAGTGGGCTATTTCGGTTTCGATAGTCAAAGACGCTTTTCCATGGCATCGAAGTTATTCAATATAGAGGTAACATTTCGATCTGAGCTCCATTCTACAATAGCTGACTCAAGTGAATGCAACTTGGCGCTTGAAATCAGAGTATTTTGAGCTGTATCTATAATATGATAAGATCCAAGCTGTTCCTTATTCTTTATGAACCTTTGTGTTTTCCGCATAAAACCGTATTTTCAATTTCAGGTAGCTCACCTTGGATATCACAGTCTTCTCTCAGAGAGCTAAAAAACTGGAGCTATCCAGATCTACGTCAAGCATTGTATGTAACAATTGATCGAGCCAGAAAATATGTTCGAGAAGATCAATCGATGCTAGCTATTGTTGAATATCAAAATGCAAAGATCTATTGTATTGACTTGGAAAATCGAAATATACTGGCGGATTTGCTTTTTTCAAATATAAAATATTCCTATTCATTTTTAGAGAGATGAACTCAATAAACAAATTTCCGTATTGAAATTCGAATGTGAAAAGCAACTTGTTGCAATGACACATTCAACTTTGATAGATCGAAGGTAAAGAAAAATTCTTTATCTCACTGCATATTTTTTTAAAAATTCCTTTTTAGTTTTCGTTAAACATTTTTTAGTTATTATTCGCCAATTGGTAAAGCTGATTACTACTAAAGCTAATTGCGAGAACTATTCAAACTTGACTGATAACGCATCCAACGAAAAATATTGAGTTCTTCGAAAAGTTTCATTTTGTCAAAATCAATTGTTGGTTTGTTATTTCAAACACCAACTCGATAACGTTCAACATTGACCATGAAGATCACGACCAGTGAATGCAGTTGCTGTTTGCTTGAACTATCTTCGGATCAATTTAAAGAATCTTATATGGATCAATGTCGACATACTAGACGTATCGTATGTGATACATGTACGCACAATAATATGAAATATGTTCTCAAAGATAAGAAAATCAGTCAAATAAAATCTCCGAAACCTAATTGTGAAGCATTGCTTGCTTTCAACAAAATATATCAACTTTGTTTTAAATTCAATGATATTGAATGATTCGAAATGTATGATCGTCGATTAATCGACCAATTGTATGAGAAAACGGAAGGATTCATTTTGTGTCCTCTTGCCGGATGTAATTCAGGTCAAATTCATGATCCAGGTTAAACAGATCAACGTCGACTTATATGTATAAAAAGTAAACGCACCACATGTTCATTCCACGAAGTCCCGTGGCATCAGGGTTTAACTTGTGATCAATATGGTCGATCAAAATTATTAAAAGTGATGTCCTCAATGTCAATCACTGATTCAGAAAAAGCAAGGATGGGATATGATGTTATGTGAACGATGCAAACATAAATTTTGTTGGTCATGTTTAGCTGATGTTAAGTTCATTATGAGTGAAGGACTTCATCGACATCAAGAAACATGTAATCATCATCCGAAACAAAAATCAATATCACAAATGAATCAATCAAAGCCAGATCAAACTACAATTTTATAAATATTGAATAAAATTAACCATAATTCGAAATGTATTCAATTGTAAATCAGATCAAACATTGTTTTTTTTCATGAGTGAAATATCATCTTATCAAGCACATCAATTAGAGATTAGACGATTCAAAATCATCTCAGAACTGTTCACAACTTATGCATTTGATGACATCAAGATAACTGCTGATTGTTAGAATTCGTGCTCTAGAAGGTTTCCAAACTATCAGTATATGTACGATTTCTCTTTTCAAATATCAAAGAAAATGTCAATCAGTCTAAAGAAAACTATACTCTTAAGTCTTTTCAATAGTTTGTCTATGAGAGAAAATGTCGAGCTCATTTGAAATCATCAACATATTTTTCTTACAGCTTCAAAATTCCATAAACTAATAACATTAAAGAAACATAAATAAAGATTCTGTCAACGTGTTACAATATTTGTTTTTTCATGTCCAAAATTTGAATCGTTCTGGGCTGAAAAAAGTAGACTACTATTAGAAGAACGAGAAAATGAAACTTGAATTTCTTTCCGGTCTAGTACATGGCTTCAAAACAACTGTCATATACATGAAATATGATTCTATATAGAACAATGATGAAGGCATGGGTGGGGGTATGAGCAGAGTGAGTATCTACACTCCCACCCAAAAAGAAGTTTATCTTACGAACGTATTCATATTTTGAAAAGATATCGATAAATGTCTGTTGTTGCTTCGGAAAATAATTGTCATGTATGCATCAATCACATTCTCGCAGTAGTTGTCATGAACGTTTTCAACACGGCAACTAATCTTATAGTAGCTTAAACTTTACGCGTTAGACTTTCTTCTGCAAGCAGCTTCGACTGCAGTCTCTTTAAGTTTTAAATGTAAATTATATTGGAGTAATTAAATTCATCCTTAAACTAGAACATTTGTCACCTCTATCATAGCCTCTGACGAGACTAAACAAAAAGTATATTGATATATTATTTTTCATAAAAAGTGAACACTTTTCTTTCCTTATGACATATTTCAACATGGATTAAAATGAAATAATTTATTCATCTATGAAAACATGAATGTCTTTTGCATATATCTTGAATGATATTTTCTGTCTGATCAATTTTGATAATAGAACAACATATTTGCCATTTCGATACAGCTGATAGTTACTACATTTTTTTTTAAAATCCTGGTCATCAATATCAAAACGAGTGAACTGATGTATGAATAAAGAACGATGAAAAATTCTAAACACATGATTACACACGAGAGATCAAAAGAATATGGACAAATACTGACTAGGATCTCCATTTTATTCTTTCGTAACAATTTTTACTTGAAAAAAGACACTAAGAAGATTTTCAATATCTTAACTTTTGTTCTTCAATGAAAATTGTGCTTCAAAGAATAAAAAGTCATGTTTCCATAAAAATAACGTGCTTTCACAAGCGCAGTCCAAGCAGCGGAAAGTTCCAAGGTCGCATCTGCCCAATCCAACATCTCTTTTAATGATATTCTACTAACATTTTGTTTTAAATCTGACATCGATTGACCAAATCTTTTGTGAAGAAACTTCTTATGATTATCGGAAAGATTATTTTTCGTACTGATCCATCGTCCTGACCAGCTACGTGATGATGTTCGACTATGATCAATTTGAAGCCAATCAGGATAAATACCCGTGTAATCATGACGATCAAAAGATATTAAATCAATAGATTCTTGAGGATCATATCCAAGATGGAAAAGATATACGTCATCATGATGAACATCGTAGATGAGTTTCCGTGGATATTGTTTGACAATAACATGGGAATTACCAGGGTTGTCTAAATGAAACGTGTACCGTTGATTTTCTTTTTCGACGGGTAGACGAAGAAGAGATGTTCCCTCGTATCGTGACAAGATCGAGTTGAATTGATCTTGACGTACAGTGAGTAGACGATTAGTGGATTCATGAGAAGTTTCCTGTGACGATAACATTACATCCATAATCGTCGGCAAGATATCCATATTTGTATATTGTCCTTCTAGTTGTTTTGCTTCAAGATATGGATTATGCAGCATTAGTGGAACTAAAAAAGCACTTTCGAATGCTACCCTCCATGCAGCAAGAGATTTTTGACCCCAATCACGAAATGCGTATCCATGATCACTAACTATGACGATCAATGTCTCATTGTACAATCCTCGCAACTTTAAACCGTCAATAATAGTTTTTAAAACATCATCAACTACTCGTATTGTATTGAGATATTTATTTGCACGTTTATATTCAATATAATCACGATAAATTGGTTCGGTAGGTGGCATAATAAATGGTTCATGTGTTCCGGTCAAGAGCAAACTGGTCATTAGATTACGTTCTTTGTCTTCATTTAAAGTATTATCAATCCAATCCCATAGTAGAGGCAAGATTGTCGAATCTGATGGTCCAAACATGCCGACATCAGGTACTGATTCGGTTCGATTCACAACATCAAAACCACTGTACATGTTGTCAAATCTAATTCGATTGATTAATTCTCGTTGACGATCGAAATCATCACGAGCAGCAGTAAAAAAAGCCGAACGAAATGATGATTGATTTTTCGATGTACGAAAAGTTTGTCGAAGTAGATCTGGTAGACAAATCTCGTAAAATTTGTTCTTCGAATTGACCTCTTCCAAGAAATCAACATTCAGAGGATAGATACCACATAATGTACCGATAAGGCTTTTCAATGTGTACGATGCAACAGTTGTAGCAGTTGTACGAACAGAATTCTTCCATAGGGAGTTTAAAAACGGAGACACATCATCTGCTGTTATATTAGAATGAAATCTAGTTCTTATAGTTTCAGCAAATGTGGGACTCAGTGGAACAACATCAGTACGAATGGATTCTAAAATAATAAGTAAGGTATGTTTAATTGGCTGTTTTAAAATCGTAGATGGTTGAGATAGTTGAATATCGGGTGCACGAATTAGTTGCTCTATAGAATCAATTTCATTTTTCTCCCAGTTGAGTTGTAGTGGAGTATCACTTTTTGTATAATATTTAAATGTTGCTGGAAACAGATCTAATACTACGTTCAATGAAGGTTCTTTCCACGAGTGTACAGGAGGACAGAAGACAGCGATGGTTGAGTATATTAGAAAAAGTACGAAAACAATACCAAGAATACCGTAACGACCATGTAATGTACGCAAATAATGATTATTTATTGCTTTCCGGACATACGAATGTCCTATGCTCCACAATATCATACCTAGAAGCAGGTGTGAGGATAAAATAAGGATAAATTTGAATATTTCAGGCCAGTATAGAATAGCAGCCGATGCCACTTTCAATTGGAAAATCAATCGCCATTCAATGGTATGATCTTTCATGATTGTAAGAAACAATAAAATTGTCTAATGATAATTTGAAAAAAAGAGCTTACCTGTTCTTATCAGTAGTAGAATATTAGATGAGAGAATTAAGAGAACTAACAATGCAACAATTAAACCAAATAAAGTATAGTATCGATTGGAATCGGGCCATTTCCATTGAACGTAAATTAACAAAAAGAAGACGGTGAGAAAAACGACTAAATCGGGAATGAAAGCTAACCATATCCATAGAAATGCAGCAGATGACCAAATCATGTGACCACCGTAGACATAAAACATCATTAGCCGATTTTCAACTAGAGCCACAAAGCAGCTGCACATCATACAGCCTTCAAGTCTGCTATGAACGATACGATTTTAGTATTTGATATAGTCAGTGCTATTTGAATACATTTTTCTCAGATTCTTTACGTTAAAAATAATTTTGAATACATCTTTAAGTGTATAGCCATAAAAATGAACCCTCCTACTACTCATCAATAGATATTAGTACAATGAATTTATGTCACATATGTGATACGCTAAGGAGCGAAGTATGAGTCATCATAGGATCTACTAGTATATTGTACCATGGTATTATTCTCTGTTTAAATGATGTTTTTCACTATTTCTACGCTCTGTTCATACAAGTAATTGAATTATTAAAGACTTGGGATTTTGCGGTTGAAACGAATACTATGATCGAATTTTTTGAAATGAACATCTCCTTGTTGGTTTCATTCACATTTTGAGTTCCAGTTAATTTACAGATTCGATGATTCTGCTGCGCCACTTTCTATTCGTGTGCGAAGTAAAACTGGTCGGATTCTGATCTTTGAGTTAATATTGATGAAGCTTTTTAGCAACAACTAAATTGTACTATAACTATTAACCATTTTAACTCGACTGGGACACTTTTATTTGGGGAGCAAAGTTGTTAAAGTTGAAATATTCATCATTCTTTTTTTTGATCGACATCTTTCATAGAACAAATGAAAATATACATATTTACAACGTTTTTTACTGCTGAAATTTAGAATTTATGAATTCTTCTTGGAGTATTTTTCATGCATGTGTCGACAAGCTTTGGTTTCTCGTATTTATATCTCGAGAGCCTGTGAGACAATGTTGTTTTTTGCGGTAGAACACGAAGTTTTTTTTCTTTATTGGACAATTACAAATGAAAGTTGGATGTTACAATTGTTTTTATTAAAAATATAGGGGTTGAGCATACATAGTTTCGAAGTAGAATTGTCTCTTTTGAAATTGCATAATAGAGTTCAGCGGTCATAATTTGTAACTGTTATAACTATCAGCTGTAGTGATAAAGTTTGATTACTCCTATAGTCATGAACGTCAATAAGAACTAATTAGTTTGGTTATCATCACTAATTAATATAACTTTTAACATTATTTATGACTTTAAACGAATTCAAATAATCAGTCAAATCCATACCCATAAATAAGATACAAACACATCAGTTATCAATGTATTCACATCCGCTTGTCCTTCATGATTGATATAAGACACATTTCTCTTTGTCTTTGACTTAAAAGAAGATAACGGTTACACTTTATACTATTTCAACTTCTCTTCTCTTGATTAATACCGTCTTGATTTTATTAATCTTTTCGTTTCTTCTCTCCACTTGTCGATATAGTAACTAAGGGAAAACGAGAAATGCGAACAGTATAATATATATACTTATACGAATAGTTTAGGGGTATGAAAGTGAATAGAGATCATACTGATAAAGTGATTTAGTGTTGAAATGAAACATAAATAATTATATTAACAGAGAGGGTTATCTAAATTTCCTTCCAACCTATCTTGTGGATCAGTACTATATTGTCGTTAGAGAATAAAGCTTGGAATCAGATCTGTTATAAGTTTGAATTTTTCTTCTTAGCTATTCACAGTGTTTAGATTATAACTGGTTCATACAGTAAGAAACACTTTCTCATACAGGTATACTTGCATTCAAGAAAGAAACACAAGAAAACGTTGCTTGTAGACGAATATATAATAAAATACTTTGAAAAAAATTTACAAATATTGATTTGATGAAGTAAAACAATTTTCAAATGCGTGTATTTGTCATCTACTATATTAAAGATGTCAAATAGATCATATTGATAAATTTTTCAACATAATTAAATTTTCTCACAGAAAAAATTGAGAAATTAATGGAGTTTAAAAGGATTATAGTTCAACTTATAATAATACTAATATTTGATTGTTTTTTTTCAACTGTCAACTTTTTAAAAATTAATTTCAATTCTCATACTTTTCTTATCCGATTTTTATCAGACTGAAGTAATCTGTTGAATTTTGTAAGATAAAAATGTTGGGTGAATAACAGATAGGATATAATAAATGGTTACGTTTCGCATTTCAATTTTGAATCATTTAATACGTTGTATTAAAAAAAAAAATATGCCACAAGATGCAACGTGAAATGCTCTACCACTTACAAAAGGACAGCTTATTCTAAAGTTGTACTTTTTGTTTTCAAAAATGAATAAGATTTTGTGTGACCATTGTTTTATAGCTACACAAAGAGTTTCTTTTCTTATCTCATCCATTAATGAATCATCGATTGTAACTTTATTATCTCAATACATTATGTTAGTGATAGTGTTCCATACGTAATAATTCAGAAATGTGATGATGTCTTGTTGGTAATTAAAATCGTCGTACATTAATCGTTTACCTTCAGGCTATGTATCTGGAATCTCGAAAATTTTATCCATTTTGAAAAGAAAAAGTATCACTACAAAATAAGCTATCCTTTGTAAATTGTAGAGCTTTTGACGCTGCATCTTTTGGTACATTTTTTTTAAATACAACATATTAAATGATGAAAAATTAAAATCCAAAATGTGGACATTTATTATGTTTTATCTGCCGTTTGAGTTAGTAGAATGCTACTTCTCGTTGAAAGCTTACCTGGATTTTATTGTCTGACTTTGCGAAGCACTACCATACATGGTGTCTGGCAGTAATTTGCTACCAGCTGAACGCATTTTGGTTATCGGTAAATGACTTTGCTTGTGTTTATTCAGTTTTCGCTCCATCTATTATGCTTCTCCAACACCTTATAACAAAAGAGATAATAGAAGAATCGAACAGGATGCAGATAAATACTATAAATTTAAAAGTTTGATCGGGCAAATAGAAAAGTAATTAGTAGAACTTGTATATTATTTTCTGCGAAAAAAGAAAACGCTTATCAATAAAAAAAAAAAGTGCGTATAGATGTGAAGATGCTTTAGAACGAGATGAGAATTTACAGAACTCGTACAATATGTAATGGTGAAGATGTGGATGAGGAAAAAAGAGAATTTACTCGAACCTTTTTCATATTCTTCAGGTTTAGTTCTTCAAATAATTTCAATAAAACTAAGTTCACAATAAATCTTTGGTCATTGAATGTTCGAAAATCTTTTTGTTGTTAAAGGAGGCTCACGCATGGAACTGCACTAATATTTTGAAATGCCGGATGAGTCAACAAAGTAGAACGGAGCTGGTCGAGCTGTATATACTAACTAATACACACTCATATGTCAGTTGTTGATTATCATGAGCAATTTTTTTCGATTTTCTCCGATATTAATTGTCTTTTCGAAACATCAAGGTATAATAATATTGTTTCTCTAGTTATCCAGGTAGAAGATTGAATGCATCAGATATTAGGCTTCATTAAATTTTCCGAAATCATTCTTGCTATTCTCTTTGGTCGAATACGCTTGAGTATTTTCAACGAGAAGCATTTTTCAGGTTGGGTGGGGTATATGAGTTGATGAAGACAAAAGTTAGATGGAAACTCACATTCACATTCTAATACGTCATGTCAAATATTCAAATAATTTTTTTTTGCAATCAGAAACTTTTCGTCATAGTGATAAACGGAAGACTTGAAGATTGAGAAGTAGATGATCAAATGCCCTTTAAAACCTGCCTTTTAGGAACATATTTCTCAAAGTGCCTAACAACGAACTAAAGTATTATATGATCGATTTCACAATAATTGAATTATAGCGCAAGATTCATTATCCGAATTTTCTTTTTTTTCTTTTGCAAAAGAAAATTAAAATTGAATCCATTATAATAAATTAAATTACATCCTTAGTAATGTCGTCGAGCGTTGTTCACAGTTTATTGAAAATACCTTTTGGTAATGGAAGACATTTTATCAGAGGATCATACGATTAAGAAAAATTTCTTAGGTACATCTTTACCGAACATATTTACTCTGAAGGACATTTTTTCAAGGACGAAAGGTCAGGGACATCTTGTCAAAGCCATTTCGTAGAGGACTTTTTAGATTTTTAATAGATTCAGTACGTCTAGCTGTCTCTAAGAGATTCTTTTTGAAAATAGAAAACTTCGTTATTAAAACACTAAATGAGATATATACTGCCACATGAACCACTTAGAAGACTTTGAAGAACGAGAAAAGCTCAGCGCTTTTATTATTTATTACTTTACCTGCAGTGAAGAAGAACGCAATGAAGATGTGTCAGCTCTTACGTGTAGTAGATAAAGCAAAGCAAGCGGCGTGGTCTTATCTTTGTTCTTCGCAATAACAAACTACATGAAGATGAATGTCTTTTGTGTTGTTGATTAGGACAACCGTGTAGTCAGCGCAGATAAACTTACTTAAATGATTTTACCATGAATGGAAACAATTAGCTAGCTTTCTTTGAACATTAATAAATTAGTTGTTAACATCAAAGAATACTATTGTCACACAATTCATTGAAATTTTCAAATGCAAAGTATCAGAGGTTTCGTCTTGCTTCTTTCTTATAGTTCGACTTTATTTCGAATTAACAACTAGCACTGACTCAAGCGAGAGAAGAGAGAGCATTATATGAGAGAGAATAAAGCATCAAAGAATGCGAGCTGAATAAACAAATATCGATGAGTCAAGGAATATAACATGTGACTATAACATATCTCCCCACCGACAGAAATGTGGGTCCACACACATTAGATAATATGAGCAGAAAAAAGAGAAACTTGAAAGAGCACAAAAAAAGGATCAGTGAAGAACGAAAAAAACCAAAACACATTAATCGAGAAAAAGAAAAACAACAAAGCAGAACAGTTTGATAAATGAGAACAATAAAAAAGAAACAGAAAAAAAGTTAATGAACGATATTTCCATTTACGGAAAGAAAACCATAATTGAATTATTCCATTGTGAGAATAATATCGAAAGCCATGATTATATGAATAATCCCATTCTTTACTAACAATATTAAATGCGATATCTTCGCATGGTGGTCTAACTTGAACTTGTAGAATTGAAAGATCTTGATGAGCTTTACAAACAGAAAGACTGTATGAAGATGTTGTAATTTTATCGATCAAATCTGGATAAAAAAATATTGAATTTACGTCCTTGAATAGTTGTTGATGATGGGTTATCTTTATGATAATGTTGTTTATTATATTGATTCCAATTATAAACAATATGAGCTGTATTAAGAATTCGAGGTGGGCATGGTTTATATTTATCAGACCATTAATATTGAACATCCCGTGGTAAAACAGTATTAATTAATGAATGATTCGCAGTCAAATTATCCATAGTTCGAGTAAAACCTTCAAGAGTATCTTCAACATCAATTTTAACAGAATCAGAATTAATAGCAGATGCACCTTGCTGTTCTAATTGATCATAATCATCTGCTACATATGCACCTTGTGATTGAATGTTCAGATCAAGATCATTAATAGTCACTAACATATGTGAATAATGACCTGATTCACATTTACGTAGATGTTCACTTTCTAAATCTTCGAATGAGTCGATTCGATTATCATTAACTGAATTGAATGAGGTATTGTCATTATCTAATGTCTTGTTTGACATTGTTGAACATGAAGTGGGTGCATGTAATACATCTTGTTCTTGTCCAAGTTTTTGTGGTTCTTCTTTAATTGTTAGTTGATGGTGATCAAGAAGATGTGATGAAAAAGATGAGGACGATGATGGAAAAGCTTCAATAATTTCACGTTTAAATGTGAACCAATCAGGAATATTGGCTTCAGTATGTCGAAACCACATAGCAGCATCATTAGTTAGAAAGTAATGTACAGCAATATAATTATATGATGCTTGTAGTTGCACTCGATTAAATACTTCTTGAATATATTGTAGCCATTTAACAACATCTTGATTACGAGTACCATCAAATTTAATAAGTGATGTAATTAGGTCTTCCATAACCGAGAAAAGTACAGATAAAGCAACAAATCACTAGGATACAATCAGCATGGAACAGAATAAACCGATCAAGAGAAAAACAAAATTTATCGTAGTTGACGAATAGTTGTCGACATGGGTCACGGCACCAAATATCAGAGGTCCCCTCTTGCTTCTTTCTTATAGTTCGATTTTATTTCGAATTAACAACTAGCACTGACTCACGGGAGAGCATTATATAAGAAAGAATAAAGCATCAGCCCTTGTAAATGACTGAGCGAACATTATTGTTACTTAAAATATCTTCCTTCGACTTGCCATCGTGTTTTTTTAAGTTAATATGATCTCTCGGAAAGCGACTACTGTGCTGCTAACAATAGACAACAAAAACAAATCATTCCTCTGCAGCCATGCCAAGTGCTAGATCAAAGTACATCCCTATCAGATAGCATGTATGCGTGCTATGGGCTTTCGGCAGAGGTTTCAAGAATTCACATACACTTGTAGTAGCGAATCTTGTTGTTGTATCGTAAGCAATACATGATTGATGAGGTGGAATGCGAAAACCATAATTTTGAAACACCTCCTTCAATAATCAACTTGTTAAATCGAACACACTTGGATTCTCCAGAGCGAATTTTGCTCGTTTTTGACTTATCCTTCATGAAACTCTATAGTTCACACTGAAAACCCTTTTTCGATCCATGCTATTTGTATATACCTCTTATTATGAACTCAGTTGAAGGCGATACTTGATTGAATCAAAAAATAATAACTCTAAAGACTCGGAAAAACTAGCATAACTAGTTCCAATATTGTCAAGAGAAAACATGAATGCATAGACCATTGCAACATGATTCGAAACAGGAGAGTGAAAGAAAATACCAACGACGATCTCAACCAACATATAAATGAGACTATCAACAAATGGTACACTGCACTGCTTTTCAAAAAGCATTTCCATATTGGCTGTGAAGTGTAAGTGTGGACATTAGTTTCAACGTGGATGTTTTGGTATTGGTGTCCATTCTAGTCTTCAGGGAAATTACACCCATACCTTTAATCCACATCCATACTCTAGATACACTCTTATCTCAGACACACCCATCCACACCCACTCTTCGGTAAAAATGCATGTTAGAATATCTTTGATTTTCAATTCGCTCTCAATTTTCTGTTTATTTCTGTTAATAATATATTTATAAAACTGAGTGTTATAAGTACTTTTGTAGTAGTGTTACTAGGTCTTCAATCTACTACTCTCGATAGTTCCTCGATCAGAGAATATATTGAAGAAAAATATATATTTAGAGAATTCAATTAGTATGCGTACATTCGGTCTTTCTCTCATTCTATGTTCTATAGAACAACAATGAGCTTCATAGATGCTTGCTTTGCCTGTTCAAACATCGATTCACATGTATCAAGTATTAACTAACTGGATTCCACTTTCGAATCTGCTTGATGTTGCCACCGTGTTGTAACAAAAAAACAGAAATGAATGTTGCTTTCAACAATGCAAATAGTATAGACGAGCAAGGTGAAGAAAGCAATGAATAGTAAACAGAATTAAACCAGTTTCCATGTTTTTTGCTACCAGCCAACATCAACAAATACAACAGAAGAAAAAAAAAGAGAATCCATGCAGGTTACACAAATTGGCATAGTAACTAAAACATTCTCGACCTCATCTCACGTTTTGCATAGTTTTTCTTTCTCATTTCGCCTTTCTATTTGACAACTCATAGTGAAATGTTAACAAAACGCGATTGAAACTTGATTGTTTCGCAAAGCTCAGTTTTGATCGATCAACTTACATCAATGTCTTCGAACAGTGTAAGCTCTGAAGATAACGTATCGCCACCGCGTGGCGCAAAAAAGAAGATGACATGGAAAGAACTCGTAAAAGAGCAAGCCGACAAGGATAACTTGAAGGGTGCTACATGTGCAGTCTACTCGGAGAATGGGGATGATACAGTTAATAAGGAAACTCAATGCATTTGTGGTCGTTTAGCTAGACAACATAGTTTCATTGGTCAACCAAAAACTAAATTTAGAAATGCTCAAAGATGGATACCACAGCTTGCCATTGAAGTGGATGTGACTCACTATGGACAATTAGAAAATGGTGCTCGAGTAAGTATCTTTTTGGCACAAGCATTGTATAACAGTTTGCAGTTAAATTTTTTTTAGTTTATTCGATGTGATACAGAAAATGATACATTTAAAACGCTTGTCGAGATTATTGTCAAAGATGTGAGTACCGAACCCAAATTACTTGTTAGTTGCTATGGTGGAGCGGGATATTTTACCATGACTGATGATCTAGAAAGAGAGTTTATGAGTGGTATTGGTCAAGTGGCAGCTACAAAAGGTGAGTCAAAGATTAGAACTCTATGAACTAAAATGAATGTTGATTGATAATGTAGATGTATGGATACTAACAACTGGCTTGAATAGTGGTGTATCTGGTCTTATTGCTGAAGGTGTTCATCGCAACATATTGTTAAGTGAGGATATATGGAAGCCGATTGTAATTGGAATGAGTCACTGGGGAACTATTTCAGAAGGCACACGACAATATCTCAAGAAGCAGGTATTCAAAATGATATGCTTATAAATTCTGAAAAATCTCTGTCAGAGAACTGCAATATAGCATCTAGGTTTTTACATCACAAAGAAGTTAAGGCTATTCAAAAAACCTGCACTAAATGCAGATATTTGATAACCTGATCTTGTCATTATATAGGGTTCTTTTTTCGTGTGATCATTTTGATATAAAATGATAGTGTTGTCCTCTGGATACTTACTTAAGTTAGTTTTATTACAGTGAGAATTTTGTTAAAGAAAGTTTTTTTTTTCCATTTAAGGTAACTCAAGAAAGCATGAGTTGACAACTTAGATGTAAGATCGGAATACTTTTGTCGTTCTTTGCAAGCAAGTCCGAGATCACTTTTTGAAATGTGCTATTGCTTTCCATGTAATCAGGACGACAATACTAGTACTTCAATTTCCTATTTTTATCTTGTTTAATCAAGAATTAGAGTAAAGTCAAGATAGAGAGGGACAAACGATAAAGTATGGTACCGGGTCGAACAAAGTCAAACTTCTGATCAGACCAGTCTGAATCTATTCGTAGATCGGAATGAGTTATTCTTCAGTTTTCGAACTTTATAACCGTTGAATAAAATCATCAACTAGTCATATCTATCTCCTGATCATAGCAGTAATGACATGCGGACTTGTATTATAGTGCTTTTTTGCTATTGACTTCTCTAAAATTTCTTTCTTTAGCCATCTGCCGGTCGACAAATACTCCATAGATCTCCAAGTTCTATACTAACTTTCTACATCGATTAAATATTTGCCAGACATAGACGTCATTTACTAGGGTGATAGAAAAATGCAAACCTTAGAAAAAATACAATGCAAAACAAGTATTCTATATTATCTTAATAATATAACATGACATCCAAATGAGTTAATACACTCAATTAAGTATGTTAGAATGAATTTTTATTTCATAGGAAAGTCTGATGCATGCCATCTTACAGAAATAGTCTTCCACAACAGTTTAAAATGTCTTATTTACGAAAAAAACGCTTTTATGACAGTTTTTTTTCGAAAAACTTGCGTCTACTGACTGTTTAATATTACCCATTATTACTTCGTGCTTAATGCTGTAGAAAATTTAATATTGAACTTACACTAAATAGTTTCATATATAAACTGATAATTGATGATTCTATACTTATGAACACCATCTGAAGAAAAATCAGAGATGTACTTAAAATTTATTTGTCATAGGCTTTAGAAAGTCAATCAACGACTTCTCAAGATTCAGTACCATCTTTGGATGAGAATGACACAAAAGCACTTGATAAATATCACACTCATTTTCTTCTGCTCGATGATGGCCGTCTTAATCATTATCTTAATGATGATCCTCGTTCTGAGTTTGTCAAAGCAACGTGCGGTCAAACACACTGTCATGCTGTAACGATCATTGTGGAAGGTGGTCTGAATACACTCGAAGTGATTCAAAATGATTTGAATGCTCAGAGACCGATAGTAATTGTTCATGGAAGTGGTCGCTTAGCTACTGTTCTTGGTAATCTGCTTGAAAAGGCAGGAAAAACAGCTACCATTACGTAAAACATATTTAACCTGAAATTATTTAGACTTACAGATTCTATTTATTTTCACTTTAGAGAAAATGAAGTGGAGCAACAGCTTAAGCTTTGTCCTGCATTGTGTCATCCTATCGAAGAAGAACAAAACAAAACCATTAACAATATTCACAAGATACTTGAACTTCAATATCGGCCCTATTTGAATGTTTTTCAACGTGGTCACGATATCAGTCTCACCAATACAATATTTCGAGCAGTCTTAGATTGTAAGAGCTTACAGATAACTCGTACTTAATTATTGCATTGAAATATTATTTTCTAGGCCAAACTGAAGGCCAGATTTTAGAAAACTTGCTAGAGCTAGCCGTGAGTTGGAATTGCGTAGAAGGAGCACATGACTTGTTCAAACGAATTCAAGCATCGAATGTCGGCCCAACGGATAATAACGCACAAGACATGAATCGAAAATATTATCCGAGTTTATTCGAAAAAGCATTAAAGGAAAATCGACCATTGTTGGTCGATTATTTCTTGCGTCGATATTATAATCCACTTGAAACAACTAAATTTGTCCAATACAAAAATTTAGGTAATTTTGATTCAGAGTGAACTACTGTGGGTATCATTGAATTCTTTACCAATAATAGCCAATCAGTTGATCATAATTGATTTACTTTATTAGAAGGATCAAATTCAAGCCAAGCATCGTCAAATAGCTTCAGTAAGGAAGAAAAAATACGTACGGGATACGCGCTTCAGTTCATCGTAGAAGTTCTCTACAAAAATGATGGCAAATGGCCTAATTTGGTAAGAGGTAAACTTAGTCAATGTATTTGTTTCAAGTACTTGAATAAATATATTCAAGAAATGTAGAAAGTAGAAATAGTTTCTTACAAGTAAAATACATCTTTAAAATATTTATTAGCTTGAGAAAAAAAATACTACATAAATTTTCTGCCAAATGGCAAGTACGTGTGCAAAAATCTGGAGTTACACTGTTTGTTTGCAAAGAAAAAATGTACCCGCATTCTCTTCACAATTAAAATGTGTGATGAAATACTTGAAAAAGGTGCATTGACTAAGGACTTGACTATCTCATAGATATTAATTGCTTCACTTCTGTATTGCTAAACTAGATGTGTTCACTTCCACGCAAACTCACAGAACTTGATGAAACATATTATAAACTGATTGGACCATATGCTGAATCTCTCTATCGAAAAAAGAATGGGACATTCGAACATTTTTGGAAAGGATTTTCATCGTTTTGTTATTCTTCACCACAAATTTCCGTGAAAACAAATCGTGTCGAACCAGTACCCGAACCACTAAGTGTAGTAGTAACATGTACTCAGCCATCATCGCTTCTACAGTTGGATGTGCGCTATGGATGCCAGAAGCCATATGGTAAACAAGAAATGTTACGTGATATCTTCCTGTGGAGTATCTACAAAGGCTACATTGATATAGCATTTGTTCTCTTGCTCCAAATCAAATCGCGCATTAGTGCAGCACTTGTAGCAGCCGGTATGGCCCATCGCTTGTCGTTGATGGGTCATAATCCACACATACGAAGCATTTACAAGGAGCATCGAACAGCCTTAGAGGAGTATGCTACAGCATGCATTGATGCTTGTTACAAACACAACGAAAGACTTGCTTGTCAATTACTCTCACGTGAAATACCTCTCTTCGGAAATATTACATGCATGCAAGTATGTTAGTCAGACTCAATTATCCGAAAGATGTTATAACTTTTCCTATTCATAGGCAGCAATTGCTTCACGCAGCAGTCCATTCATCAACACAAACTGTTTCAATCAAGTTCTCAATCAACAGTGGTATGATCACCTGGATGGCACTTCAATTGAAACAGTATGGGGCACATGCAAATTCGTTCTTCATCTTGCTTCGTTTGGTGTGCTTGCGCCGATATTTCTTAAGTACCGGTCAGCCGATAAGCCCTCTCAAAAGGTCTAACTAGCATTTATTATCACATTGTTCTTGATGCTTTGTTTTTTCATATATTAGAGCAAACAAGATGGTGACACTTCAAATAAAAGCCCTGACAGGTATCTTTTATTTCGATTTCGCCTACCAAAACTGAAATAGATGAAACCGAAACTACGGAGTTTTTGATGGACTTAAGCTATCATGTTACTTAAGCCGAGACTAGTTTAGCAGGTCGACTAAGTGGGTTAAAAATTAAAAAAATAGATAAGCTGAGATTGTTTGTGTGGCAAAGGGTGCAATGAATATATTCTAGAGGAATCTATGGCATCAACGATCCGTCAAGTGAGGAAGCCGGATATGGACGCAAATTAATACAGTTTCATGGTAGTCCTGCTGTAATGGTATCTTATCAATTTGTGAGTCTCATCCAACCAAATATCATATAAATGCTAATATCATTCATTGAGAGCTTTTTTTATAGTTGATCTACATATGGTTTCTAATGGTATTTAGCTATTTAATGCTATTTCATATGAAATCTTCACACGATTCAATTCATTGGAGTGAAATCTATGTGATTATCACTATTTCGGCAGCTCTTATCGAAGATATACGAAAGGTTAGTATTGACTACTTCCGTATAAGATTATCTATGATATATCTGAGAGTCTAGCTCATCGTCGAATTGCATACACTAATGATGGAACGATGGCACAAAATGGACTTATGGATATTGATTGTTTATATCACACCTTATCTTCTATTTTATATCGGCATTGGACTTCACTTTGGTTCAAGAGTTCGCCCCGATTTGTTTACTGCAGCTAGGTGAGTAAGATGAAAACATGATTATAAGAAATGGTTTAAATGCAAACCGAATATAGGATTGTATTAGCTCTGGATCTTGAAATATGGTATCTCTTTTCATTGCGCTTTGTGAGTGCGATTAAACTTTTGGGACCGAAACTCTTCATGATCCGCAACATGGTAATCACTAGATTTTACATACTGCCCTTTTTATATATCTTTTCTAATTAAGATGCGTGATCTCACCGGTATCATCTACATTATATCTGTGTGCATTACTGCCTATGGTGTAGTTTCACGTGCATTGACTATGTATTCAAGCATCCAATTTACTGCAAATAATCTATCAGCTTCCATTTTTTATCGTCCTTATTGGTTTTTGTATTCGATCGTCGACGATGAAAAAAATAATTTAGATAGTAATTTAGTCTTTGTTTACAGAGAAAATTCGAAACACGCTTTTTCATGTTATAGGTATTATTTCATCAAGCACTAGCTCGGCTGATGAAGTAGCAGAGGCAACAGTTAATCACATTCTCTTGGCATTTCATATGCTTTTCATCAATATTCTTATACTTAGCCTACTTATTGCTATGTTCAAGTAAGCCAGACGAGAAGCCAAACTTTTTATCAACACTGATGCATTGCCGTATAGTTTTTCTATCAACGATGTTCAAACTAAGAATAAATATTTCTGGCGCTATCAAAGATATGAATTGATCCGCGAGTATTTTGAAAAACCGATGTTCATCTATCCACCCATTTCATTAATCATCTACGTTTTGTCGATTATCAAATGTATTATACGTCGCCGCATATACTTTCGAGTATTCAGTAAGTGATCGATTACTTATTCTAAAAATTCCATATTGTATATAGAGCGTCTTGTTACGTCAAAAACATTGGATACCGATTGGACAGATTTTGAGAATGCAGCAACATACGAGTATGCCCGTAATCTTGTCGAAGAAAAGTATCGACCATACAGCAAAAGTGAAATATCATCGTATGTTTCATTATTTTATTTCCAGTTTCTTTTACAATTCTACATCGTTTTGACAGACCACTAATACAGAGACAAATGCAAGAATCTATTAATGAACTTCAAGCGCAGACAAAACAAGTAAGTACCAGAGATGATTTAGTTTTTATTTTTACTTTTTTGATATTCTGATTCTTTTTCTTTTTAATAGATAATGGACGGGATGGAATCGATGAAGAATGCTAGGGATGGTGTGAAAATATCCTCTTAACAATAACTTTTACTAGAGCTTCCCAAAGAATTTCGTTGGTGAATGATGAATTGATGATTGAACTTCAAAACTATCCGCTAAAATTTCCATTGTGCACTGAAATCAAAAATTCTGTCAATGTAACTAGTTACATTTTTTATTGGTTTGTGTTAACAATTCTGTGATATAACTAAGAAAAATAGAGTGATTTGCTTTCTATCTATAATCATATAGATTATCAGAGATCAAATCATAATTAACAACGACTAGTGGATAGTAGTAACGGAAATATATGAAACTTGCGATTCTATTTCTTGCTATTGCAACAAAAGGAGTGTGGGTGTGTGCGTGTAATTAAATACGTTCACACCTACATCCATCCACATCTACACCTATCCACACCCATACCCTAACCCGTCGATTTACGATCTTCTTTATGTTTTTTAATTTAAAACTATGTTCAGCATATTTCTATACATTTAACTTATTTGAAATACAGTTTTATTTTCTTATTGTTCCTAATTAGAAAAACCCAAATATAGTAGAATCTAGAAAACATAAACTAGTGCATAGTGAAACAGTTTTTCGAATACAATGATAGCAACAGGAACTTATGTCGATAGTCTCATAGGGCATGTTCTCTGTTCGATATTTTTCATCTATTTATTTACTTAATCAAATATTTTCATCATTCACAAGTATTTTCATTCTTCATTTTACATATATATGTACTTTAATAAAGTTTTTCTTTTCGTATCAAATGGTAACAGTCAGAAGTGTAAGTCGATTTACACATTGAGCACTATTCGCAAATAGATATTTCATTTTGAAAAATGTCTGAGTCTCCAAATGAGTTTTCGGAGATGTTATTATCTTATTTTGTTACTAATACTATCTGCCCAATCGTGATTAGATAGCGTTTTTTCATCTTAACTCTGAAAAATCTCAAACACATTCAAGTCTAATAAGGCTGATATTCTGAAAACATAAAATTCATGGTGCACTTCCGTAAAGCTCGAAAGTTTTCGTA